GTTTCATATAAAGGTGACCAATATACATGAGTTAGTTTGTATTTTAAAGAAATGCTAAATGTTTGTTCCAAAGTGCTATTTATAATATCACTTTGCAAGGTGGGAGTATGTTTAAGATTTTAAGTCATTAGCGTATGTATATTTGACCGAAGCGCCACCTTTAATTTTCATCAGATTTATTTGTTTTAATATTTCACTTTAGGTTGCGTGGCAACCAGAGATAGTTTTTGTTGTTGTTCTTTTTTGTTGTAATTTAGAATTATAATTTTTAGAATCCGTTTTTGATGCTAAATTATTTGTTATTAAAAGATTAAAGTTTTATAATTGTTGTCATTCATCTGTAGAACTTGTAGTTCATTTGATTGATTTTATTTAAAAGGCGTCCGCATTATTTATTTTAACTTATTAGCGACATAGTTTATAAGCAGAGCTGCTAACTTTCTACGCTTTTTGGAACCATTTTTCTAGTGGTAGCTAAGTTTACTTCTTAATATATTATTCTTCGTTTTGTAAATTTGATTCACAGTTTTTTTTTATCACCACTACATATAAATGATTGAAAATTTTATATAAAAATGCCACTTTGTTTCAGCTCTCACGGGGTGAAGTTTGTAAAATGATAAAAATACAAAAAATTCAGAAAACTTCAGTTTCTAATTTCCTATCCATCTTTAAAATATTTTGAAAATAGCATAGTAGGCTGCCCTTTTGAGCAAGAGATGTAGTCAAGGCATTACTCAAGGGGAGGGGAGAGAGAGGGGGATCTTGGGACCATTGAAAAAGAAATTTTAACTGCTACCGCACAATTTAAGCCTATAATTCTAAAACTGAAAACGGTTCTATTCTTAGACTAAAACCAAATCTAAAAGGCCTTTCAAGTATTACTACGTCAACATGTTTCGGGCTATTTTGAACCTCTTCTCAGCAAAATAAGCAAAACCTTTTCTATTTCATTAGTAAGAGGTTCCCTTTCTTTGCTTTTACTTATACAATAGTAATATAATTTTTGAAATAAAATTAAATAAATAATGCGTTTCGCAACTACCACTGCGATTATTAAGCATAGATTCACTAGTATATAAAACATGCTAACTCGATTCAATCTTGAAGTACCTATTGAAAGGTGACGGTTGGTCATGTCTATATTGCTAATGTAACTCTGCATTTAACCAATTTTGCATTTCATTTCATAAAATTTTGAGTTGAATATTCTTAAAGAACTTTTTGCTTCCCTTTCGATAGTCTTGACCTCTAAATTTTGTAAAATAAATTCTTTTGTAAAATCGTTCCTATCCAAATTTAACGTTCATCACAAATATGCAATTTAGTATTTTTCCAAATTTTTTGTTACACTTTTTGCATTTAAAAAAAAATTTAAGATAAAAGATTTTATTGTCGAAAGCATTCCTGCATTTTATTTTACTTAAAATTTCAATGTCCTAAGAATGCATTACTCATACTACTCCGACCCCTTGTGAGTGACAATAGTCCTTAACCTTTAGGTGCTTTCGTAATATTTCAATGGACACAAATATTTAATTAGCTTTTGAAGGAGTTTTGTGTCAATAAATATATAGTCCAGTAAAATTAAAGTTTTCTTTGGAAAAATTAATACTTTTAGATATAAAGCTTCCTCCTAAATGATACCTAGAAACTCCCAACTACTCCCCTCTCTACACTTTTTTCAGGGAAATAGAGGCTTTGTTTCCTATGTTTTACACTAAATTGAATAAAGCCATTCTCGGGAAAATCTGACGAATAGATTAGAAGTTAAAAAAAGGTTTTATGTGGGAAAAGAACAAATTTGTTATTCTACAGTCATAGAAAAAAAAACAAATCACTCTTATGACTTGTGACCGGTAGGTCTGATTTTCATTCTATAAAGTGTTACGGCGATATCTCAAAAAAATTTCTTAAAATATGTATAACAGTTAACTATAACCTTGGCGAAATATATTTATTCTGACCAAAAAACAAACCCTTCTGAGCGAAACATATTTTTTAAAAATCTAATTCAGATTTCTCATTCCCCAATATAGAGGTAGATGAAGTTTTTAAAAGGAGACTTTTGTAGTCAAACCGCTATAAATATTAGAAAATTTGTTACTCGAATATTAATATAAAGTGTTGTGCTCCTTCAAATGATTGGCTAAACAGAAATAATTCTTTCACAAAAAGTTATAAGCCTTCAAACAAATAGGTAATGGGGGGAATTAGTTTATTAATTCTCTCTCTTCGTATGCCTGTTTAGGCAGAGGGGTGCAATTGTTCATGTTTTTCAGTGGCGCCATCTATGACCAAGAATTCGACTTCTGCCACACGCATACGTCACACCCGTTTATAGGGCGGGCATATTCATTCATCCACAGATCGTAATTTTGACCAGAATCAGAGAACGATCGATCTCCAATCCAGTACCCCCAGAGGTATAGATTTGTTATGGGAACATGAAGGACTTTGCGACTCGGCATATTTAACGTGCTGTACAGTCACCTTTTACTACACGGGGAGTCTTCGGAAGGCGGGGTTCGAACCCACGAACTCTCGGTCATGGGCCCAGTGCCCTACCGACCAGGCTATCCTGGACAGTTTATTAATTATTAAGATTTATTAAAATTGTAATTCATTTAAGTATTAACTAATTTGTAACTCATAAAAAAAAATTGAGTTGTAAGGTATCAAAAGTTTGATATATTCGGAATTTTCAGATTTTTTTTAAAACCTGATACTAGATTTTAACTCCATTTGATCAATAAAAATGTCCTTAAGAACTAATTTAAAAAATATATTATAAAATGTCACGGAAATGGCACTCCATTTTGAGACTACATCGCTGAATTTCAGTTTTTCATATTATGTGTCATGCGAGTTAACCTATCAATGAAAGAGTTAATCGTTTATACCTCTGCAATTAACGCTAGAACAGCCAGATTTTGCGCTTACCAAAAACCACCATTTGGGATCAATTTGACCTTCGTAAGAAACTGATGTTATTTCAAAGTAAATGATTTTTTAAATAATGAATATTATTAAAAATATAATATGTAAAAGTTTTTAGAGATTTAAAATGTTTTTTTTTCTTCGTTTTTTTTTTTTATCAACGCAATACCAATGTTACGGTAAATGACCGAAATCAAGAGAATGTCGACTTTCACCAATGAACGTCAACAATCACATAGTCGTTTTGATGAATG